ATTTAAAAAATGCTACTCTAATTAAACGAGAAAACAATTTACTAAGATGAAAGTTTATAGAAAGTGCTTTAATTGCTAGATCCGCCACAGTAAATTTAAGTAAGGTTTCTTAGAACATTTCACCTTTCTTGCCAAATCGTCTATTATCACAGCAATATTTATTTTTTTTAAAAAAGGGATAAAACATAAAAAGAAACTAAATGAAATCGGCTATATATATATATATATATATATATATAAACTTATATACACATATATACACACACATATATACACACACATATATACATACACATGCGCACACACACACACACATATATATAAATTTATGAGGTGAGTGTAAAGTGAAAAAGACGACGAAAAAGATGAATAATCATGACATTCTACGCTATACTACGCACATAATTGCCGACGGACATATGGTCGTACGGGCGGGAATGCACGCACGCACGCACGCACACACACACACACACACACACACACACACGGATGCACACATACAATATGAAAAATACTTCCACCTATGAAAAGTGCATATAAAAAAGAAAAACGAGAAGTATAAGCAGTCAATTGCTGATATCCCCTGACGAATGGGCAGAGTGATTCCCGGATGGTCCGTCTTTGAAACCCTAGAGTCAGGTATATATATATATATATATATATATATATATATATATATATATAAGTAAATATTGAGGTCAACACACAGAGGCAACCGGCTGTTTCATGCTAGACGTAATCGTGGCCTGACGATTGCGTCTAGCATGAAACAGCCTGTCGCCTCTTGGTGTTGACTTCTATGTTCACTTTTATATTTACATACGCTCTATCTCAGATTTTGAGCACTTTAGCCCATAAATATACCACAGATTAAAACTATATTTCTTTATATATATATATATATATATATATATATATATATATATATATAATACATGTTCTCTTCATATCTATCGCAGTATGTTCGTATTCATATTAATCTGTCCATATCTATCGTAGTCTGTTCGTATCTATGTTCAAACTTCTATATCTCAGTTTCCTTACATCTGTTTCAATCAGTTCAATTCTATTTCTATTTTTTATCTCAGTCAGTTAATCTATCTATCTATCTATCTATCTATCTATCTATGGCTTATGATCATATGATATTCAAACCCCGATTCACGTACGATCATCGAAGTTAAGTGTGCTCAGTACCCAGATGGATGTCAACTTAGGAATACCAAGTGCTGCAAATTTTGATGTGCGGGTGGTGTAATGAATAACGGCTCGGAATCGAAAATCGGTGAGCTGAGTTTCAATTCCAGTCGGTTTCGTTATATTCACCTACACGTAAATAGGAAAGGCATGAATCCATCTCTTCTTCCCACCGCAGCTATGGGGTTAATTAGCAGGACATGTATCAGTAAATCGTTATTATCTCTCCTAAAATTTTTATTCTAAAACTTTTTTCTGTTTTTAAATAACCCGCAAAGGGTTGATAAACCGCAAAAAACAAATCAATCTATTTTACCCTATTCATATATCTCTGTCTCACTGGCTAATCATTCTATTCTTAAACAATAAATATTGAACAACTTCGGTAGGAAAAAAAGAAATGAGCTATAGCAGCCATGTTTCACAAATTAATATCCAAGGTAGGCAGGTCTTTCTTTAAAGATATTGACTTTAGGAATTTATATTAGTATACTTGTAAAAGTTTAGATCATTATAGATATCTGTACCCTCATCTATTTATTTAATAGATGATTAATATAGATACTGCTGATTTTACAAGTACACGAGTGTTAAGTATGTAAGTAATACTGTAAAAATATCTTCCAATGAATCAGTCATTGAGGAATAAACAATTTAAATAAAACAGTTGACTGAATGCCATTGATAAACACACGTACAGTGTGGATAATTACTGTTGTAAAGAATGAACTGAAAGAAAACTTAAGAATAATAACGAATAATTTAAATAGATAATCTCATCTATTATTTTTCAATGTCAACTTCCAATAAACAATTTTTTTTATATTTACGTCCTAATAATAAACCGTAGATAAAGTAATAAAAACCTAATATAAAATCTAGATAAAGTAATAAAAACCTAATATAAACCCTAGATAAAGTAATAAAAACCTAATATAAACCCTAGATAAAGTAATAAAATATAAACCTATATATAAACTATCTAGGGATTTCTTTATCTAGTTTTACTTATTTTTATTTATCTAGTTTATATTAGATTTTTATTACTTTATCTAAAGTAATAAAAATCTAATATAAACTCTAGATAAAGTAATAAAAACCTAATATAAACCCTAGATAAAGTAATAAAAATCTAATATAAACCCTAGATAAAGTAATAAAAACCTAACATAAACCCTAGATAAAGTAATAAAAACCTAATATAAACCCTAGATAAAGTAATAAAAACCTAATATGAACCCTAGATAAAGTAATAAAAACCTAATATAAACCCTAGATAAAGTAATAAAAATCTAATATAAACCCTAGATAAAGTAATAAAAACCTAACATAAACCCTAGATAAAGTAATAAAAACCTAATATAAACCCTAGATAAAGTAATAAAAACCTAATATGAACCCTAGATAAAGTAATAAAAACCTAATATGAACCCTAGATAAAGTAATAAAAACCTAAACCGTACATAAAGTAGTAAAAACCTAATATAATTTTTTTTAAATTCTGGTGATTCAATTGAGGCTTGAGTTGTACTTGTCAATATATTGTGATGAGAGTGAATCGCTGTTTTAGTCAATTAGGCTTATTTCATTTACCAAACTGTTTTATTCAAATCGTCATCTAACTCCAGAACCGTGAGTCCCGTTGACGGTCGGCAAGTCGAAAATTCTCCTTCAAAACAGATAGCAGCGAATAAATAATACAATCACTCCAAACAAGATTGTCACTAAGTAAAAAATACAACCATTTACACATGAATCAATAAAACAAACGTGAACATTTTTAACTTACGAATGGGAAGGCTTATTTAGTATCACTGCTAAAAAAAAACCCTGAAATTTATATTCAAACACGAAAAGCTTTACTTACACTAGTTTCTTAGAATAGTAATCCTCCGCTGATCATCCATTTGTCTCTTTTCCTGAATATAGATCTCACGTGATTTCGCGAGATTTTCCCTAAAAAAAAAAATAAATAAATAAAATCTCAAGTAAAATCTAATTTAGTTGCAGTGAATGACCAATCCCGAAGAAACGCTGACACATTAATGTGTGACGAAATGGGGGTCCTTCTTTCTCTAAAATGAATTAAGATGTCAGTGAAACAGCGAACGACTATAAGTAGTGAAACAGCTGGTGAGCAATATTTGGCTATCTCCGTGGAGGTTCTGAAGTATCAGGTCAGTAGCACAACTGTAGCACGAATAAATAACATGGTAACCATCATTAATAAACAGCATTGAAATAAATAAAAATAAAGTTTGATAGAAAGAAGCTGGGAAGATGAGTCAAATCTTAGAACGTGCCTTTTAAGTAGCTGGTGTAAAAAGAAAATCTGCATCATCATATGACAATCGAATGACAAGCTTTTTTATAACGTTTAATGTCATTTGAATTGGAAATGGAAATCCGTTGTTGATATGGCAAAAAGGAAGATGTGTGAAAAAAGAAAAGTGGAAAAAGAAAAAAAGTGATTAGAAAGAAAGAACGAACGAAAGGATATAAGACTACAACACCGGAAAGAAAGCACTTGGCCCCGATAATAGTTCTTTTGACCCCGTCTATGAGTTTGTGAGGTCATCTCGGCCACCTGAAACTCGTAGGCAGGCAAAGTTAATGAAAGTCAAGCAGCCATTTTGAGTGCGAAAATCTGATCATTTTTGTTGACGCCTGCTTCCGGACTATTTACTACAGCAAGAAGAAGAAGAAGAAGAAGAAGGAAAGGAAGAACAAGGACAAAGGAAGGAAAAGGGCTAAAGAAGAACGAAGAAAGTAAAAAGAAGAAGGACGAAGAAAGAAGAAAGACGAAGGAAGAGAGGTAGGACGTAGGACGAAAGAAGAAGAAGAAGAAGAAGAACGAACGAACGAACGAAGAGCGAAGAAGGAGAAGAACAAAGAAAGTAGACGAAGGAAGAAAATCGAAAAAGAAGAAAAATGAAGAAATTAGAAAAATAGGAAGAACAAAAGAAAGGAGGAAGAAATAAAATGAAGGACGGAATAAAAGAAGAGGATGAACAAGAATAAGAACGGAAGAAGAAGAAGAAGAAGTGGTGGTGGTGGTGGTTGTGACCGGACGAAAAGGAATAATTATCAATGTAGACGGTGATGATGTAATTTAGAACAAAAAAAAAACCGAATTCCCCTTCTTGACTGCTGATGATAATGGACCAGTCCTAATGTTCTTCATAAACTTCCAAGGAAGAGGGAGTGAAGGATACATGAAAACAAGTCAAAAAAAAAAGGGGGGGAAAGAATGAGAAGTTTAGTCGGTGATATTTTAGTCTCACGTGTCGTTTAAGTGCTTTTTGCCCAGTGAATAGTTACACTGAAAAAATTATTTCTATTTTGATCACGTTACTCTTTACGAGAATAATTCTTCTTCTGTGTGCCGTCTCCCTTCAGCACGTGGGCGATAACGGCTCTCTACAACTTCCTATTTCTTGTAGCCCTTACCAACGTTTACTATCTGCTATCTATTTTCACAATCTATGCTACAGCTGTTTACCTCTGTCCCTCTTGCCTTCAATCTATCCTGTGAGATTGATTTATTTTTTACGGATTATCAACTTTTTACCGGTTATTCAAACCTTGAAAATATTTTTAGATTATAAGAAGTTTTTCGAGATAATAATGATTTTACTAATACACGTCATACTATTTAACCTGAGGGGAGAAGAGATGGATTCATACCTTTCCCAAAGGTATTTGCGCGTAACGGAATATAACGAACTCGACTGGAATTCGAACTCGGCTCTACGATTTCTGATTCCGAGCCGCTATCCTTTTCACTAGCCGCACATCCAAACTTACAGCACCTGGTATTACTAAGCGGTCGCCCATCTAGGTACTGACCAGGCTTGACATTGCTTAACTTTGGTTATCGTACAGGAACCGGTGTGAGTGTTAAGCCTTGTTTCCACATTAAAGGTCCTATACCCGATGACAAAAGCAGGTTTATTTATGAGTAGATCGAAGTTGTTAATGGCTCGTGTATCTGTCCGCTCTGCCTAGTGAGAAAATTTCGCCTGCTGTCACTTTTGACTAAGATCAGTTCTCTCAATTAAAAGTGTTTAGCACAAGAAACAGTCACCAAATTCCGATCTGTTCCTTTTCACATGACAGCAGAATTTGGAAAAACAAAGAAATCGAAGAAAGAAACTAGGAGACAGGAAATGTAAAAAGTTAACAAAGCTATTTTGTTCTGAATAAACTCGGACCGGTGTGCAGGATCGCCTCATCAGTGATGTTATGACTTGGGGTCATGACAAGTTTCGGGTCTTTCAACATTATCCCTGTTTACCCAATAGACCCTACCGAAACAATACCTATTCCGGCAGGCCATCATGAAGCAAAATGCCACCAAACACACAACAACGGACATATAAATAACTGCTTCTGCTGATCTTGAAATAGCAAGCGACCAATCAGAAAAGCCCTACGTCACTTCCTCCTCAGCCAAGACGAGACAAAAAGAGAACAAACTGAATGCTCTTTTTTTCCCTCTTAGGCCCAACACGAGGAAAGACCTACACTCTCAACAAACACTGTTTGGCATAGCAGGTAAGTAATTTCTATTTGTCACCAGGAAAGTTTTTATCGCCTATGAAACAATACTTCATTAAAAAAAAATAATTCATACACATTCGTTGATCATAGAAATTATGATCAGAAATGTTTGTTGCCTTCTTTCCTTTATTCTTCTTTTTCTACTCTAAAATGAATAAACGTGAGAAGAAATGAAGACGGAAGACATAAATAAATAACTTCTTGTATGTCGCATGTTCCTTCGTGACATCCTCCTGTCCCTTGTAGCTATTAATACGTTTTGCCTTTTTGCTATTTCTTCCAGACCCTGTTCTGTCATCCACCAATAGTTTACATAATACTTCATCTCAGAAATATACACAGAAAGGCCGAAACATTGTAATAAATATGGCGACAAAGACGAGGACAATAGTCCGAATAATGTAAACAATGTACATAATACCTCATCTCAGAAATATAGACAGATACTGAAAGGCCGAAACGTTGTAATAAATATGGCGACAAAGATGAGGACAATAGTCCGAATAATGTAAATAATGTACATAATAGCTCATCTCAGAAATATAGATAGTCCCCGTATGTACAAATTTTATCTGTGTCTGGGGGCGGGATAAAACAACAATTTAAAAATGTAACCCAATGTGTATTTACAATATATGATAACCTATTTACAAAAAATTAAATAAAATAGGGTTAGTAAAAAAAAAATCCTTAACTGTGATAGAAATATTAGTTAACTAGACGAAACTAATTCGTCCAACCTCTCACTCAAATATAAACTTTTGTAATGTCCGTTTGTAGGAGAGATTTCGTAAATCACAAATACAATAATAGTAACGCATTTGAACAATACTCAATCAGACGCCGCTAATTCCCATATACATATTTTCCTTCACCCGTTACGTGATCTAATTATTTCAAGATGAGGTCGACTGTGCTTGCTCTCTGGCAATCCGTGTTCAAACCCAAGTGTCTGTAGTGACAATTTATTCCGATATGATACACACTCATTCAAACACATCAATAAATACGAAAAGCACACCCAAATACGAAAGGCATCCCGCATCCACCAGTGAACTGACATCTCTGATCACCAAATGGAATACGAAGAATTAAACTAAAGAAAGAAAGGGCAGAAATAAAAGAGGCCAATGATCTTACATCACTTAAGAAAACTTAGTAAACATTACTTTTGTTAATGGCGTCGATTAGTCTATTTATATTCATAATAGAATTTTTATTCGTAAGTAGGAGCGTGTCAGTGAAATCAGCCTGTCGACTTCGAAATTCAGTTCAGTCTGCTGCATTCATTTTCGCACAAAATACCCATGCGACAGGCATGAATCTATCACTCCTCCCAACAGCCATGAATCGCAGCTAGGAAAATACCCTACACTAAATAGAAAACGGTGAAAAAAGCAACGGGAAACCACTCCATCATCTTTAACAAGAAATCATTGCAACTCGTAGAGAATAAAAATATGAATCTACGGAGATTGCAACGGGAAACCTCTCCCCTATATAACCCAAGAAGTCATGGAAATTAACAGAGAATAAAATAACGAATCTACGGAGATAGCAACACGAAACCACTCCACCATGGTGCACAAGATGTCATGGCGATTCCCAAATAATACAATGTGAATCTGTAAAGAGTCATGTCAAAATAATTGGGGTTATTATGCTGCCAATAAATATATTTCTATTTCTTTTTTATGCTAGTATGTTTTAATATTTTTTTTAAATTTTAATGATTTAAAAAGTAGTATTATTTATTCCATACGATAAGAGTTGAAAAGATAAAAATCCTAGATTACTCACGACGAAAAATATAACCAATGCAATTTTCTTTAATCATTTCACCAAGCAAGGCGATAATGCCACTAAGACGCAATGAACAATTGGGAGTGAAATAGAATGAAAAAGAGTTTAGAAGGAAACGGAAACGCAATCCTAAATGGGAAACAAAGGGGAAATTTTCTACTGCTGTTCAAAAGACCCTGGAGGTTGGTAGACCGGACGATAGGTAAAACTATTGTAAAATTACTTAAAATGGCCGACACTTTTTAATGGGGCAGACCGTAGACGTTATCTTTGGATAATTCTACCTTTAATAATTGAAAAGGGCTGAATTCTTTCTTAAAAGCTACAATAAAGTTTATTGTATGGATAAAAATGCTAAAATACACACAGAAATATAACCAATACAACTGCAAAATTACTTCAATATTGCTTCAATTTTTTTACAATATAAATGTTTATATAGAGTGCGGAAGAAATACACCCCACATATACTTCCCAGATATACCTCCCGCATAATGGTATGACATTATGTAGATGAAGGCACCATTTCCGTTAAAGTCTTATCAATATGTTCAAGGTATTTCTGGGATATATGTGGGGGAGGTATTTCTGTCGTACCCTGTATTTCACTTCCATATTTAAAATCTTTCCCTTGTGCAGTACACTATTTTAATAAAAACATTTTGAAATCGCTATACAAAATCTTTCATGTTTCAATACAATGATTGTATTTCTTCAGGCGATGGTAAGCAACTGGTGATTAAATGATTTTTAAGGAAATTTAAAAACAAAGTACATTATTTACATTATTCGGACTATTGTCCTCATCTTTGTCGCCATATTTATTACAACGTTTCGGCCGTTGTACGCTCTGGCCTTCTTCAGGCGGTTAGAATGTCGAACTGAACCCTTTATTTCGCTCACTGAGGTAGACTGTTCTAGTTCCACGTGCCATTATGGATGTCAGTTAACTCCTGTTAATTTTCCCTCTGAAAGTTCTCCACTGCCTTAACCGGGTATTGAACTCACTCTTTGGGTCCTGTCACTGGATCTAACCAAGGCCACAAAAATCTCCTGAGCCGACCAAGTATAGAAATAAGTACAATATGGGAACCAGTAATAAGGAGTTCCAGATAAATGCAATGAAAAAGTTGCAATATGAGCTCTGGTAAAACCATGCAATGATAACAGCAAAAATTGCAATATGAGCACTGGTAAAAATGGTTGCTGAAGACATTAGGTTTATAATACCCAGAAATTCATACCCAGATGTCCTCAAGGATACATGGCACAGTGGATAAATAACTGATAACTGACATCCATTAAACATGGCACGTGGAGCGAAATAAATAAAGAGTTCATTTCGACATTCCAACCACCTGAAGAAAGCCGAAACGTTGTAATAAATAGGGCGACAAGGATGAGGACAATAGTCCAAATAATGTACATAATATCTCATCTCAGAAATATAAACAGACTCTAAAAACAAAGTGTTACCTCTTTTCCTAAAGTTAAAGGTGGGGGACATAAAGTTAGAATTAAAAATAAACTTGTGGGTGTGTCTTGATTAACCAATTAAATGTCAGATCTACGCTAAATATAAAAGTAAGGTCAGAGAGTGGCATTGGTCGATGGCATATTTTCTGCAATCGTCAATGATGACATGTCTATGTTCCGCTTTATCGTGACATGAAAAAAATAACTAACCCATCTCCACCCTTCAAATATTTTAATGAATATTGTCTAACTAAACATGAAGGAAAATTGAGAAACATATGTGCTTTTATTGACAATTTTTGAATTTGACTGTGGGCAAAAATATTTAACACCAATACAAATAATACGGTAAAAAGGGTATTTTAAAACTCTTTTCAGTTATTTTGATATGGCTTTTAGTTCAACCAATCACAGGTGATCTTCAATGTATGTATTAAATAAGCACGTCACTCAATCGGCACATACTGATAACAGGTCTTATACAGTACAGAATGTTCTGCTATCTAAACTCATAAAAATGATCAAAACAAAAGAATTGTCAAATGATATGCGACAGAAGATTATGAAACTGGACAAAGATGGTAAGGGGTATTGAAAAATTGCTCAAGATTTAAATTTGCTTGTGTGTACAGTGGGTGCTGTTGTTCGAAAGTGGAAAAAATATGATACAACTGAAAATATTCAAAGGTGTGGTCGTCCATGTAAATTAAACGAGGCTACAAAACGATATATAACTCGGAATGTGGAGAAGCATCCATTTTCGACTCGAAGAGAAACTCAGAAAGATCTGAAAAATACCGAAATTGAAGTAAGTGAAGACACAAGAGATCACTGAATCGTACAGGCCCGTATTCTAGATCACCAAGAAAGACTCCACTATTAAATGTGCAAGACCGTTGGAATTTGTTAAAGATTATGAACTTGAAACAGATGAATTCTGGAAGGAAGTTATTTGGTCAGATGAAAAGAAAATTGAGCTTTTCAGGAGAAACATGTTCACCCAAGTATGGAGGAAAAAAGGAACGGAATACAACCCAGTAAACACCATCCTAAGA